TCCTCCATATTTGAGATACTCTCATCTCTGATCCTATCAAAGTAGCTCATGAACTTGGCGACCATTGCAACCAGGTCAGTAATGGCTTTCACCTTTCCACACACTTTTCTTCCATTAAGGCCATCAAGGAAGGCACCCCTATCACCTTCACCCTATCCTCAGATGAGTCCTATCCCGATCGTATGCTGCAACCTCACATCTTCCTCTCTGTCCTTCCTTTTAATTATTTTCAACCACATATGGACATTTTCCTGAGAAGCTCTTATTCTACCAATCTTAGCCATATTCTTTGATCTAGTAAAAGTATATGATACCACATGGCGGTACCATATTCTCCAACAATTGTCCTCACTAGATTTACGTGGAAACATGGGTCTTCATAAAATCTTTCCTTTCCAAACGTACTTTTCAGATCAAAATTGCCTCTTCCACGTCATCATCCTTTCCTCAATTCGAAGGCGTCCCACAAGGAAGTGTGATTAGTACTACTTTATTCCTTCTTGCTGTAAATGACATAGCCTCAGTCCTACCACCAGGAGCCCGAGCATCACTACATGTTGATGACAACCATCTACGCATCTGGCACATCCATGCCAGATCTCCACCAATTCCTTCAGTCTGGAATAACATCAACATCAATACTCTAACTATAATCTTTCCCCATCCTTTTCTCTCGCTCATGTATAGGTCACAAACACCCACTCTTCTTTTATAACGTTCCACTCCAATACCGGTCTTCTGGCAAATTCCTAGGCGTTAACATAATTTGACTCCAAATTGTCCTGGCAAGACTATATCTTGTACATTAAAGAAAAAGCTCAACGCCGCCTCCGAATCTTACAAACTCTTTCCCACATCTCCTGGGGCTCAGATCACAAAACTCTCCTCCATCTTCATGTTACCTTGATCCTCTCTACTCTAGATTATGGATGCCATATCTACTCTGCTTCAACCTCCCTTCTTGCTCACCTTGATACAATCCACCACAGCAGTCTCCGCCCAGCCCTAGGCGCCTTCCGCTCCTCTCCAGTTGAAAGCCTGTATACTAAGTCTAGCAGGCCATCCCTCTCTCGACATCGAGTCCTCTCTCTCCGATGCCATGCTCGATTTCACCAACTTTCCCTTACCAAACTATCCCAGAATCCTTGATTCCTACCTTAACCTCTTCTCCATGTTTACCTACTTTCTCCATACGCATGGATACCCTCCTTTCCCATTCCCCCTTTCCTCACCTCCGACCTCTCCCACTTTCTATCCATTCCATTCCTCCATGGCTTAAACCTCACCCATGTATTTGCTCGTTTTCCCTGACCCACCAAAATCAGATATCCCCCTCTCTATCCTTTTCACTCATTTCATTGACCATGTCTCCATTCATTCCTCCAGCATTCATGTTTACACTGACGGTTCCAAATCCACCTCAGGAGCTGGATTCGCAGTAACCTTCCCAAATCCCACTTTCAAATACACCCTCCCTCCTGAATCTAGTGTCCTTACTACAGAACTGTATGCACTCCTTTTTGCCTTATAACGCATATACTCACTCCCTTCTTCCTATTTCACTATTTTTACTGACTCCCGTAACTCTTTAACCCTCATAAAGTCTATGCACTAGACCAATCCCCCTGTCTGTAAGATCCAGAACTGGTTGTTCTATCCACACGCCATAAATCTATAAAATTTTGCTGGATGCCCAGCCACGTTGGAATCCCTGGCAATGAACAGGCAGATACTCTAGCACGCTACGCCGGTATGTCCACATCACCTCAACCGCGCTTCTCACTTATTCCATCCACGATCACTACCCCCACTTTAATTTAAGGCGTTTTAAGCAGGGAAAGTTCTTGCCTGAAATCTCAAGCGTTTTCTTGCTAACTCAAGCATTTCACTTGTTTTCTCAAGCGACCTCCGTAGATGGCTAGACTTGCGATTGCTAAGTCAAGTGGTGTATCGTCACCATGGCAACAGCGTCGGTCGCGTACCGTACTGGTCACCATCCTTCGAATGCGGGCGTTGGCCAGGAACTCGGCTTAAACATGACTGCGACAACAGTGTTCCTTTTTGCAGCCCTTTCCGCCGTGGCTTGGGTGACCATGCAGGAAATTGTGAGTATTTTTGAATGTGTATACTAATGTCAAGTTACTTTCATTAGATAAATTCCCATTGCCTGTGGTCGATTTTTTTTCGAAATCGCCCAAACAGTTTTTGAATTGTCAAAAAAACGAAAAAATGCGAAAGTCGCCATGTTGAAAATGCAGCACCTGGGTAAAAGGATTCCGACTTCAGAAACGGCAAGACATTCAATTTTATTTGAATTTTGCACAGAACTACCTTATAGCTACAAATTGTTCGAGGGCGTTTTTTTCAATTTCGACTTCATATTTTTTTTGGGAATTTTTGAAGTAGGGGACTTCAAGAAAAAAAAGGTAAAATTTTCTTATATTGACCACTTTTCAAGAAGTACAGGCAAATATTGCAAAAACGCTCTCAAACAAGTTGT